AACCCCACACAGGAAGGCCACAGCCGGAATCGAACCCTGTACCTCTGCTCTTTGAAGTGGACGTGCTGAAGTCGATCACTGTGTCACCCCAAAGATCCACCCATTCATCGCATTTGTCCTCATTAGGGGAGCCTATTCTAGCTGAATTTGGACGAGACTGGTCACTGGCCAATCACAGTGAAATTGGTATGCGTAAACCTTGATCACTTCCCGCAGCATTCGTGGAATTGCACGAGGACGTCAGTGTTTTCATTCGTGATGCTAGAAAGCAGGCCTTCCGATGGGCACTGCGCGCTGCAGCACCGCGAGAGCCGTAAAGATTCTCAAACTGACGCCGTACTGCAGTTGGGGCAGAAAAACCTCTTGCAGGGCAGCAATTTTGCAATTTGTGTACCAATGTCAATTAACAAGCCGTGGGCATATGTTCAAAAAAATTATGAGGCCTTAGTTGACAGTTGCTGATGGCCTCACGTTTGCCTGAAAGATACATGAAACAAAACAGAAAAATTCAGAGAAGAGCGACTTCTGGTCCACCACGTACACTAATTTGAATATATTAACTTGGGTTACAATAATTTTTTTGTTCTAAAAAGACAATCAAATAACAGAGGTGAAAATGGGTAAAATAACTGATGAGAAAACAAAACAAAAAAAGATTAGTGTTATTCAGGTATAAGTTATAAAACACACTCAGATACTACACAAAGACTTCCTCGGTTGGTCTGTTTATGTCGCATTGTTAGTTCCACAGCTTTGGTCACCGCAGAGAAGCTGATGAGGCGCAGGCAGTGAGTGTGTGTGTGTGTGTTGGGAGGGGGGGGGGGTGTACTTTAACACAACAACAAAAAAAAGGCCTCATTCCAATGAGGAGGCAAGGCAAATAGGGCCAAGTGACATCACTCAATGGACATTCTCCATGGTAACCAGACAGAACCTGCTGTTGCCAGGCTACCAGGGGCTATAATGTGGTCGTATGGATGGTCCAAATAAAAGGGCCGGCCAGAAGACATTCCTGCCACGAGTGGGCACGCACACATTGAGAACAATGGAGCAGAGATTAACTTTAAGCTCGTAACTAAAGTAGATGTTACATGTTGCCACCACTTCTCCAAAGGAATGACAACATGTCCCGATGCGCATGACATAGCATGCTTCATGTTTACCTCTGAACTTGAACTCACCTAGCCTGGTTGCCCACACGGTCCAATTTGTGAGACGGGAGCTGAGAGGTTTCACGACGTGACCTTTGCCTTCAGGTCAGGCGTGCTATGTCACTTCCCTCATGACAGCCAATGTTCCAATCAAACATGAAGAAATGGCCTTACAATTGACTGACGCTAGTGTTTATCTGAGCAGTCACAACATGAGGCACACCTGCGCCATCAAGGGAGCTGTGTCAAAACAATAAATACACGTCACTCTGGAGAGTCAAGGCTGGGCTGTTCACAAAAGTAAAAGAAATTCAGTGGACCCACAAATTTGTGTTTGTTTTTTTCCGTCCTTTGTTAACTAGAAGGCTAATTCCTGACTGGATTGTGCCATTGTTGATTCTGCAGCGGAGGGAGGGCGTTGTTGTGACTGAAAAAGGCTAGGAGAACATAAATTGTTCAAGCAACTCATAGAGCGCCATATTTGTGTTTGGTTGTCAGTTTACAAAGGGTCTCAAACAACGTCATTTAGTGGTTACGAATGACATGCAAGGAACTACTACGGTGTTGTTTTTTTTTGTTGCCATTTTTCATCTGATTGTTTTATTTATGGGCAAGAAAATTTTTTTCATACAAACTTTACTGTTAGTATGATTTCACTAATGCGCGAGTGATTAATGACAGATTCAGGTTTGTATCGTAGACGGAACTCAGTTGTAAACCAAGAACCCCAATTACTGGTTCATGGAGAAAGCTGCAAGACAATGGAAAGTGAATCACCGCGGCATCACTAGGCAAAGGAAATCTTTTCATTTTGACTCAAATGGCAAAAAGAGAAAATAAATCTATTGAGCAAAAAATGACATAATGAATTTGTGCTTGTTTGACAAATCGACAAGGAACAGAAAATTAAGACACAGCAATATAGGCACAAATCAAAACATATTTGAGAGCAGCACAACAAATATTTTAACTCAAACAAAAACAGCTTGCAGATTAAAAAGCATTTAGAGACTTAGGGAGAAAAGATGCCATGGGTTAAGACAATACGGAAAATACTCTGTGAAAACTGAGCATGACTATCTTTCTTAAAATGTCTGGTGACTATGGTGATTCATATACTTAATAAAGTCTTTGGTGAAGTTTTTACAGATTACCCCATAAGAGCCAGCAGGTGCACTTACGGCCGAAAGCTTACTCACAAATGGCAAAGCCAAGAGTCAGCAGGTGGTTCAACGTGGAGGACAAACGTAGCATTGTCTGACAAGTTAACCCCCCACCCCCCCATGAGGTGTTTGTCAGAGAAACAATGCTGAGGGTGGGGGTTGGGGGGGGCGGCGTGGGGGTCAAAATCCCCTCCACAACTTTGAAGCGATTTACTGCATGGTGACTCATGGCTTGTGTCACAGCCCACTAACACCAGCACTTCCTGAGCAGCGGACAGTGCAACAGGAAACAGGAAGGAACGTGGGCGAGGGAGTGGGAGAGGTGGAAGAGTGTATACATGGGTGTGTGTGTGTGTGTGTGTGAGAGAGAGAGAGGACACACTGTGGAACTTAATTAGTTTGATTTGACCACTCCTCTTGCTATTTACAAACACATTAGCACAGCACAACAACTGGAGTGAAACACAAACCGCTTCCCGTAGGAAGTATGGAAACGTTCAGGTCCAGGGTCAAACTGTCACCATCACATAAGGCGTTATTTACTGTATCAGCCATTTCAATCTAGGCCAGCAGCTATCGAATAATTTTACAACAGAACATTCTTATGATTTTCACAATGTGCATGTGAGGTGCAGGTATGATTATTGTCAAACTGAGGTAACCATCCTCACGTTCCACACGGTAGTCGCTGTGTCTTTGAATGTGCGCAGCTTAAAAAGCTAAGCGGCTGGCTCTTAACTTGCTAACCGTTAGCCCAGTCTGCAGTTATGGCCTTAGCAGCTCAATTAATGAATGTGTTTATTTATGTTACCATTTATTCCAAAAGGCGACCTACTTTTATTTTTACATTTATTCCAAAAAGCTTACAAATGCTTCCAACTAGCACTTTGCAAATGCTTCTAACTAGCGGTGGTAAGCTAAAATAAGTTCGCTAACATTGACTACCTTTCCCTGGCGAACTTACACGTGCTGTTGGGGTACACTAGCTCTGCTTTAGCGCAGTCGCATTACACTTAGTCTTTTTTTAAAGTAAGAAAGGATCACAAACTTTGGCTATTTTAATCTCTATTTTTTTAGTCATGTACTTTTATTTGTTTCTATCAATCGAAGTATGTCGAAGTGAAACTGGTCTGTGTCACAAAAAATACTTGCGCAACACTGTACTGAAAAAAAATATTTGACTCAACTTTCATCACGTTGTAGTCAACTGCAAAAAAAAATGTTCAACCACTGATGTCTGCTGATCATACTTTCACACATAATAAAAAGCAGAGAACGGAAACACGAGTAAGGTACATACTGTACCTGAAGCAAGTGCAGGCAGACATAAATTCAACCAGAATCTTAGTTTATCTCAATATTTATAAAGTGAATGTTAGGATATTTAGGGGCTTATTTAACAAGCAGGACACATCTACGCAAGTTTCCTTCAACAGGCTGATTTATAGACAGTTTCATCTCCAAAATATGAGAGTGGAGAGTTGAAATGTGTGGGGAGTGAACTCCTTTTCGTGCCTATAGCGGAGTCATCAGAAGCACAGGTGCAAACCCGCGCGCACATACGCACACGTTTGAATGGCAGCTGCCTGCTGAGAGGAAGAGGAGGCCTGTCTGAGATCTGCCTAGGATCACGCCGCATTGCCAATTTGGCACGCTCAGCACAAATTGTTTCGACATAAACTGCCGTGGCAGCTCGCCATGCCAACATCGCAGATGCTAATCAAGGATGTTCGCGCAAGCTGCGGCGCATTTTTGGATCAGTGTCAAAAAGCATACCAAAAAAAAAGAAAATCATAAGTTTGCCATTAACCAGGTGGTGGTGGGAGGACATTAGTGCATAAATTCTACTGACTAATCTGTTCTACAAATCATAATCTACATAATCATTGTGTCTCAGTATACATTCAGAATATTCCAGCCGGTCTTTGTATCCACCTGTACCAAATTTAAGACTTTTCTTCAAGCCAGCACTGATTTATTGCAACTCAAAGTAGACAATAGCTCATCTCTGGGAATGAAGAAGAGGAGAGGGCTCCAGGGGTTAAAGTTCACAAAAGGGCATCAGGGGGGCTGACAGGTTGACATGAAGCTGACAGCAGTTTTTATCAAATTAAGCTTTTTAATTACTTCGGGCTGTATTTGCAAGTCACCTCGAGATGTCTCCAAGAAGGCGTCTATCGAGGAATGCATTTGTTTATAGTTCAAATACTCGCGTAAGGCTGCCGCTAGACCATGGGTGTCAAACTCAAGGCCCAGGGGGCCAGATGTGGCCCACCACATCATTTTAGGTGGCCCTCAAAAGCAAATTATGTGCATCAACTTCATGTTACTTGCTGAAATACCACAATTTCAAACTTTCTTCACTTTTCAAAATGTTGAGGTATTGCCAGCATTTTTGTTACCAACTCCCCTTTTAAAATAAATGGAATAATATTTGGAAAAAACGTTTTTATTGGTTACTGACTTCAAAACTAGTTATTCATTAATTTATTGGTTAGCCTATACGTAATATGAGACAATTATATAATAATTTGGGGTCATAGTCATAGCCCTCCGAAGGAAACCAGAACTATGATGTGGCCCGTGACAAAAATGACTGACACATCTGTCCTAGACTGTCTTGTGTTATAAAGTTCGACACACTAAAACATGCTGGGGTGTTTTCGTAACTCACTCGCTGGTTATCTGTACTTTTTCAGCATGTTGGGTTACTTTTTACCCAAAGTTGGGTAAATAACTTTGAGCCACAAGACTGGATTTAGGCGGGCTGAAAAGTTGAAGCCATTTTTGACAGTTTTGTTGTGTACTGAAGATGAAATAAATTTAATGTCAAATATTGGTGGTATAACTAGATGGCTCTGTGCCTAACATCTGTGACTTGGACACAGGGGATTGGGGTTAAAATTGTGCCCACGGTGAATGGCCCACCCATGGAAAATGAGTTGGTTATGCCGGGGAGGGGGTGGGGGGCATCCGGTGTAAGAACTGTGCCAAACGTTTTATGTCAGCGATTCGCCGCGGTAGCCCCTAACAGGGAAAGGTTGCTCTTTCTTCTTCTAAGAAAAAGTTGTTCATAAAGTTGTATTATTTTTATCAACAGCTATACGAACAACCTGATAACCAGTTTCTTGGTAGTGTTAACTGATCAGTTTAGGAAGTTTTTACCCCTTCGCTATTTCACCAAATTTGGGTTACTTTTGACCCAGCGGGTTTATGAGTGTATTTGTGTGCCTTTTCATTCTTACATGCTATCAATAACGCACAGCTCAGTCAGTGTCACCATAAGGTGTCTTTGAGACTTCCTCATTTCACAAAATAAAAGTTGGGGATTTTCCCAGTGGACATAAACACCATCACGGTAAGCAAACTCCCCTCCCACTAAAAGCAACAGGACAGTCTGCGAGGCTTGCCCGATCACTACATGGCTGCATGATCATGCCTTGTGAGGGTCTATTTCCCCCAAGCGTGTGTGTGTGCGCGCGTGCGCTGCATGCCACATTCCTCACATGCAGAGTGGCGGAAAGGGCAGTGGCCCCTCATCGGCAGAGGTGTATGGAAAAGGGGAGCGTGAGGAGGGAGAGTGTGCAGACGCAACGCGATTGATGGAAGAGGCCAGACGGCCACATGACGAGGCAAACAGGTGGATGTTGAATTACTGTAACAATGTTGTCGATTGTTTCTCATTATTGATCAAATTATTCGCTTTCATTTTGTTGCTATTTTGGAAAATTACTCACTTCACATGGTTGTTTTTACTGGGACATAGTCTCCCAAGTATGATAGGATGTTCCTGATAAAACCTCATTTTAGGGCTGAACGGTGTACACTAAAATGTCCTGAATGGGAAGAACCAAAAATAGATACAAGCCATTAAGGGGGGGCACTAATGATCCATTCATGTGGAATTCTACATAATTATGTTGGTGGAGATAAACAGTCAAATGTTTTATACTGGATAACATCACTACAGGGAGCTTGTGTAAACAGAATCATTCCACATGTAAACGCTCGTGGAATAGCTGACCGGTGACTGAGATGCGAGACACACCTACACACACACACACTAAATGGCCATAAATGTAAGTACACTTGCATCATAAAACCTTAAAGTCTACAATTTGTGATTTACATTCACACAATTTTAATATTCCAAACATCTCATGAAAGAAGATGAGGTTAGGAATGTAAACCTCCCCCCAAAAAACCTACTTATCATTTGAAAATGTCTGACAAATCCTTCAGGGAGGCAACAGGAAGCAATTTGTTGCTAAGTTTGTCGAAACCTAAAAAGGATTTTCAATATTATTGTAAGCCAAACATGTTGCAGTTTGAACATCAACACTGCGCTTAAATTTAAAAAAAAAAAAAGAAAGAAAAAGTGCACCGCAATGGGTCAATTACAAAGTACCGGATTATTGTATTTAAAAGTTAAATACAACTAAATGGTAGATGTATTTTAATCAATACTTTCCTTACTTTTATTCGCATGGCTTAATAAGGTGTTTTCATTCATTGTAATATTTTGGATTGTACTTCATGTTTTAAATGAAATTCAATTCAGCGATTCATTTGTGTACCACTCAAGTAAGCTTGCGCAGGTTAGCCTGTCAGTACATGTGCCACACTAAAAGAATCACCGCTTTCGCAACTCACTGAACTAAAGTTTCATGAAATTGTAATCCTTGAAATCTTCTTTGACTTATGAGACGTATTTTACCCCAAAATCTTCTTGGAACCCCATACATTTATATTCACAAAAACTTGCAGTTGTGGTAAACTATACAGCATTCTTGTGTTATTTTATTTAGCTACATGGGGTAAAATGTTTTAGTTTTTTTTTTAAAGCGTGATGTCTCGATTTCCAAACTACAACGACAAAAATGAAAAAAAAAAAATGTTCGGTAATATATTTCAGACAGTGTCAAACCATCCAATGGGAACATTCTGATTTTTATAAATGCAGGATCGAGTGTCTACTTGTGTCCAGTGATCGGTGATCAGCACCATACAGATCTTTCTCCGTCTCAACCACATGGATGGGCATGATACCAGTCTTGCAGCTGGAGCACCCACCCCTCCCCGCCCGCGCATCTTTCAAGTGGTGCCGTGGGCCGACAGCAAATCACCACCAGGACACCTGACCTGCATTTGCGCTCGAGTGTACACCAAAGATGCATGCTCACCTTCGACTGCGCTTAGACGATGTTCATTCCATTTCACTAGCTTATTCTTTGAGATCAAGGAAAAAGATGAAGATGCATTAAAGCATTTAACTGTTAATGATTTTTTTTTTTAAAACATCGATTCGGTACACTTGTCAAGACGGATGATCACGGGATTGTGTTTGAAAGGAATGCACATAGCCGAAACAACCTAACTGAAAAATTTAAATGTAACTTCATTACTTACGACCTTGTGGTTTATTAATATGCGCAAATTATTACACATCATAAAAGTCTGAGACACAGACATGAATAAAACAACAGAATTTTAAAACACGAACACATTTACAACCCACTGTACAATATACACTGAAATTGATTAAAAACAAGAACTAAAACAAAACATGGATATCATACTCACACGAGTGATGCTCTCAGAAGGGAACATCATTCATGTACTGTAACTCAGTCACATTCGCATTCATTTCGATTAGACGTGCCTCACTCAGGACAGAAGGGTTATGAGCGCGTCCAGGAACTTGCTGCGGTCTTCTGTCTTCAGTTCTATAACTTCACAAGAACAAAATTGAGAAAAGATCATCTTATTTTGTACATTTCTAGAAGGTACTCGGTAATCCGCACGTTTACGTGGCAAAAATTTGCCCTAAAATTAGAACACGTTTGTAAAAATACAGAAACATTACAGTTATGTTTATATTAAGATTTGAAGTTAAAAAAAAAAAAAAAAAAAAAAAAAACGGTTGAAATACTTCACACCTGTTTGCTGCTATTTACTGAGCTGGGTTTTCGACTTGAAATGAAAGCAATGCTGCCCCCATGTGGTCACACAGAGTAGAAGAACTTTGCCCCGTCTTTTCAACCAAACCACAATCCCTTTGAGACGCTGCAGGAAATGATTATTTCACTTACTGGATGTGTCAAAGTGGTCATGTAGAGTTCTGGAGCTGGTGCTCTCTGCAGCTTTCTCAAACGCTCTGCCGAAGAAACTAAGAACAGAGCGAGTGACATTTGTAATTGAAGTCAAGCCCCAACTGGTAATTGTGAATTGCACTTAAGAGTCTTGCTATTTTGGAACTCAACTAAAAAGTTTAAATTGCCCGACTACAGCACTTTAATTACAACAATGAAGTAATCTTTATAAAATAACAAATTAAGGCAAATTCAGGCAAAAGACAATATTTTAAATTTAAAGTAACTTCCTTTCTTTCCACAAGTAGTGTTTCTTCCCAACAAAAATAGCCAAAAGTAAAAAGTATCTTGTAATAAAACTACTGGTAAAATTTATCCAAAAAGTTGCTTCCTTGCTTGTAACCGGGTAAATGTGGCCCATTACTAGCCACCTCTGGTCACTATGATGCAGTTGTATTCTACGCCGCAGCAAACAACAACAACTACAATGACTATAAATAAAACAGACAAAAAGCTCCCACTACTCAAGCTGAACGTACTTCTTTTTGTCAGAGGTTTCAGACTCGGGTGGGATTCCCACGACAAGGACGGTCCCTTTCTCGACATCTTTGGGAGCAGCCATGATGAGAGGAAGCAGCCTGCACCGCTTATTCCTTGTCTGGCAAACAAATACACCATGAGGAAGTTGTTGAGTTGTCTTTGATAACAAAGAGCTACTCACTGATTGGATGAAGGCTCTTAGAAGGTACTTAGAGAGCAGAGTCAAGGCCATGGGCTTTGAAAAGAGCTTGACATCGGGGGTCCCCTGTGCGAGAAGCACGATTATTCAACTGAGCAACATGTGCGGCCAGCAAACAATCACACGGATGATGGTGGGGCATGTGCACCTCCATGAGGTAGCAGTAAAGGAACGGCCCCTGGGACAAGATGAGGTTGGTGCAGATGCAGCTGGCAACGGTCTGCTGGATTGCAATCAGCTTCTTTTTAGCCAGGTCCATGCCTGAGTGGAGACGTTCCAGGTTGCTCCTGAAAAAGAGAGCAAAGTGTCAGGGGTTGGACAATCAACTTTAACGTCGAGTTTGCCGTGGTTAAAAATAATTACATATATTGTCATACAACTGTGTTAAAACTGTCTGTATGACCTGACAGTATATTATTTAAATGTTTTTTTGGAAAAGAATCATTCTTCGGCCCATTGAATGTCTCTGATATACCTTAATTATTTTTTAACCTAAAACGTGACTTGACTACGGTGTTAGTGATAGACGACAGTGCGTTACGACGACGAACACATTTGGGTTATGTCGCCACCATTGGCATGGGAGCTCCTTTGAAAACGGAGGACCCGCTATAAACACATTCCAGGGTCACACCTTGAAAGAGAGTCCAGAGCCTTGATGAAGTTGTCAGTCTCGTTCTCGTCTTTCTCTGTGCTCTCAAGTAGAGCTGTGGTAGCGTGCACCATGTCGCTAGCCAGGAAACGGTTCTTGAAGCCAAAGTGGACACCGAATGTCTGTATGCGGATGTCTTTCATTCTGTCAAAGCGTAAACTTGTTAGTGAATCCCTCAATGAGTCAGTGACAACAACAAAAAAAAAGGGTTTAATCTTCACCACATCCACACCCGTATTTATTGGAAGACTCCTCAATGACTTCCCGCAGGTTCTCTTTGATGGACATGTCCATGGAGGTGAACTTTTGCCGCACTTGCTTCAGAGGCAGCCTGATACAAAAGACCAACCTCAAGACACCAATATTCACTTTGCAAGCTTATCTGCATTCCCTGGTGTACTCTTACCCCATGTCAGCCAGGAACTCCTGTAGTTTCTTCTGGCCGTTTAATGTCCATAGCTTGAAGTGGCAACAGGTGTAACATGAGTTACTGATGCTCTCGTACAGAGACCAGTGCTGGTAAAGGGTCAGACGAAGGCTGAAGCAGAAGGTTAAGGGAGGAAATGACTTGGATACGACTGATCAAGCCTCTTTCTCTGCACGGCCGTACAACACCACCAAAACGAATACAAAAAAGCTGACAGATCTTTTGGGATAATGTGGAGTGAAATATAAAACTTGTCAGATGCCCTCAGATGACAGGATACTCATACTCAAAGGAGATCCTCATGCAGTCAATGGAAAGCGAGTTTTCCTCATCCTCGTTTCGATGGTTATGTCGGGAGACGTGCCGCTGCATGGTGGCGATGTCGGTGACATACTTCATACTAATGGACGGAACACAATATGTTAAAGCACAGCCCTGATAAACCAGCGTCGAGTATCATATATGAACAAATTGAGCTGCTCAAATAAGTTTTCCACCATACTAAGATTCACTGAAACACACCCGTATTTTTTATGTTTCTGCCACCATCTAATCAATTCGTTTACCTCTAAATAAAAATAATATGAATTAAATAAAAATAACTCTGACGCTACAGCAGCTGTTTATTGATTGAAAGGAGATCATTTCTCACTGTGTGACTTTATCGTGAACCCACTGATCAGTCAGCCCGATGATAGCCCACCTGTAAAAAATAAAACAAAAAAAAAAAAAAACCGAAAGAAAGAAAAAACATTAAATGTCCATACAGTATTGTTTATTAGTAAAAGAAAATCAATTGACAACTTACCAGAGCATGTCTTTAGTGTCTTTAGTCAACACCCAGGCAAGCTCGAAAAACATCATGGCTGCCTAAAACAGAAAAGATTATTCTCTGTATTTTCTCAAAAAAGTGTCCTTTGCTCTAATAGGTGCTGCGTCCAATTCGGTTCACTCACAGATGTTCCATGATATTCATACTGCTCGTAATCAAACAGGATTTCCCTCCTATGATTAAAGCAAAGCATGAATGCTAATATCCTGCTTTGAGCAGCAAACACAGTCCAAATGTGACTTAATATCGATGGTTTACCTTCGTGCTTCCCACTCCCTCTTCTCACGTTGTCTCTCGATTCTCCTCTCGACTGACCCCTGCATTAAAAAAAAAAAAAAAAAAAAACACACACACACACACACATTGAACAATTAGTTTGACTATGTATACTTTTTTTTTTTTTAAATATGCCATACTTCATCAAATCTCCTTCGCTTGCCAGATGGCTCTGTGCCTTCGTCGCTTTCATTTCCAGAGTCTCCTCCCTCTTCATCCTCATCATCATCTCGAAATATTTCATCATAGGATGGCACGCCCAAGTCATCGTCTTGTTTTATCAGCAATTTTATCTTCGGAGAAAGAACAAACAAATGTTAAGAATCGATAATTCCATTCTTCTATTTTCTATCATGCTTTTTCACATTAGTTGAGGTGGGGCCTATTCCAGGTGACTGGGCTAAAAGGGCGGACAATCCGTACGAGTCATCATTCATCAAGCAATCGCAGGGCATATGCAAGGTGTGTCAGAAGATTTCCAGGACTAGTGTCACAGGATATATTTGAAACTATGAGTTTTCCCTTGCCAGACGATCAACCAGCACATCCACACAGAGCTCCTGAGACGTTCACTTCCTTCAATGCGCGAGAAGAGGCAAAAGTTGTGACAATTCATGGCTGCTTCATCGTGACAACGTTCCTGCTCATAATACCCTGAACATTGGACACTTCCTAGCCGAGAAGAACATCACTGAACTGGTGCAACCTTCCTATTCACACAACCTGGCTCCATGTGACTTGTTCCTCTTTCCCAAACTCAAGGGATTCATCAAAAGGACAACACTATGAAGCCATTATACATCACCTGAGTGTCATTGTAGACATTAACCACATCTACAGGCCGGTGAGTGTCACAAATGAAGAAGATGGAGTCATCGTCCGGCTGCAGCAACTCAAGAAGGTCAACGTTGGCGCCGCAGTTGATGAGGACAAAGTATTTAAACTGCAATAAAAATAGACAATTATTGTATACAAGACTATCTTAAGTCATTGACTCCTTTATTGTCTGAGGAGCTTCATACTTGGTCTTTGTGTTCGAGGAAGGCAGTGCCAAGGTCCTGCCACCCCGCCACTGGTATAAGGGTATACTGAACCTGGTCGCACTGGAACAAGGCCTGATGAAGAAAAAATATATACACACAATAGATACAAATATTGGTATATATGTATACCAATATTTAACATGATAATTCTCCACTGGTCGGTCAAGACCCAAAAGTAGGCTGCGGAAAGCTGGGATGTAAACCACCTTTCCTGACCTTGTATGAGATGAAGCTAAAACATGAAATGCCAATATTAGTGTTTTTATATCATAATTTACATCGTGTACATTTATTTCCTAAAAAGGAGAGAAAATTATTCCGGTTGCACTTTCCCAAAACGAAAACTGCAATGTGTTTTCATAGCTGGCAATATTGTAGATGTGGTTGCCCACAAGCTGTTTATAATAGCGAAACCACAAATTTAAAATTGGTGGTGGTGTACTGCACACAGAACAAAAATCACAGTTTGCTACGTTTCGCTAGGTTCCAAGTTGCGGATCTCATTTTAGAATTACTGTAGGCTTGACACTGCTTTGTTCAATCTTACTCGTTCCACTGTCTCATTTTATCAGTTTTAGAACCACTGCCACAGAACAATTGAGCGCGCGTCTGTATGTAAGTTTAAGTGTAACCATTCGTAAAAATGTCTTAAGAGACATTAAATGGCCGGTTGTTGCTCTGCCGCTGGATTAAACCAAAACTTTTGACATAGGTGAACGTGATCGTCATTAAATTTCTGCCAAAGTGGAACCAAACTCGCCATAACAAAGAACTGTAGTATGCTTGCTAACAGGACCGCTAACTTACCTGAAGGATCCTACAGGCGCAAAGAGCATCGATATCTGACGCCACCAGGAGCGCAACTCTCTGAAGGAGAGTTCGACAATGTTACCAATGTGCAGTGGATGGTTAGCTAAGCAGGGAGCTAATGTTATGGTTCGCTCAACCTACCTGGTCGGCAACAGCTTCATAAAATTCTTTCCGAATGTCCGTGACAAACATCCTGGAGGGCGATATACGACGCTGACGTAAAGTCCTCGACACGAAAACGACGGGGCAAAGTGGATCATATGTCACGAAAACGACAGGAAGGGAGAATTTTTAGATTTTGTGTCAAGAGACAGACTACAGGCAGCCGCGACACTGTTTGGAAATATGGCGCCAAAATTCTGCGTCACGCGTAACCAATCAGGAAAGGGGAAGGAGTCGTACGTCAGCATGACGCGTCCCTCACCAAAGCCGAAAGATGAGAGGACTGCGCAAAACGAGGAAACGGAGAAAAGTACACCGTTTACCGACAGGAACAACCAATCAGGAAAGGGGAAGGAGTCGTACGTCAGGAGCATGACGCGTCCCTCACTAAAGCCGAAAGATGAGAGGACTGCGCAAAACGTAAACAGATAAAAGTACACCGTTTACCAACAGGAACGTTTTGAGGCTACGACGCAGCCCAATGAACGATAGTGGTGCCTTGATTTATGAGTTCAATTCCTTGCGTGACCATGCTCGTAACTCGAATTACTCCTTTCTCAAGTCAACTTCCCAGGGGTGTGAAAATGGATGAAATGAACATAGGCTAATGTACAGTAGCAGTAAATAGTACAGTACTGTATATACAGTACAATGTCACCCAAAGGTTGAATAACTACAATTTCTTCCTTCAAACTTGGTTTTGCCAGTATCATTAACTACACAGCTATTCATCACACAAGCAATCTGACAAAAGAGAATGCACAGTTTCTGTAGAAATATTTAATTTGACCAAATGAAATCACAACAAAATCAGAGTTGATTGGTTGCTCAATGGTCCTTCCGAGACAAAAAACAAAGATGTACCCGACAATAAAAATAACACTAAGCACTTGTACTTGACAAAACAGTATCAGGAGAAATCAGCAACAATCTGATTTAAGAGAAGATAATAACCTTTCAGGTAACTAAACAACAATGTTTACATTTTAACATCCTCCTCACAAAATAAGAGTTAAGTGTTGTTTTTATAAATATACATGAAGAAACATGCAGGATTTTCAGTGCCTACTATTTTTGTTAACAAACTAGTCAAAGGACCCGTGGTTTTAACATGATCACATTTTGGGCAAACAAACATTGAAAATTCAAGTCCAACTCCTACATGTCCCAAATTTGGAACATTTGCTTAAAACTGCTGTAGTGGAATTATGTAATTCACAAAAAAAAAAAAAAAATCTAAATTTCTTTTTTTTTTCCTGTAAGAAAACTATTATGTCACATTTGAGTAATATTTGATTATGTCAAAACCAGACAAACCTGAAGTTAGAGAACAAAAATGGAATGAAAAGCAGTGTACATTTCCCAAACAGGACAATGTTGGAAATAAAAAGGCACAAAATCCGAGCCAAGTTTGGTCTGAAAGCCTCTGTGATCAGCGGAGTTGAGCTGTATTCAGAGCGGCGAGCAAAAGTGCTTATACCCTGCAAGACTTTGGCTGATTTCACACAAAAACACAAAAGAGGTTTGCCTGATTCTTTTGTCAACACCACCAACTTATCATAGAGCCCAAAAAAACAAACAAACAAAAAAAACATTCATTGACTCCCTTCTTTTTGTCACCATAGTGACAAGAATCGTAGTTGGACCATGTAGTTGGAATTGGGTTTGTAGTTTTTGACAACTATACAAAAAAAAAAAATTGTGACTCCATTTGTAAAAAAACATCAGGCCTGTTGATATTTTTTATCTGCTAAGAGATGGACTGGAGTGATGTCCAAATATAACACTAGCAAAAACATACAACTGAGATTATTACAGCTTGTCACAAACAAGAAACAGAGTCAATGAGTCACCCCGTTTTATCATGATAGTACGTGTATTGACTCCCTTTCATGAAGTCATTTAGAGATGGCCAACTTTTTTCCCTATTAGGAATCAATTAATTTTTTTAATAAAGGCAGAGGGCCATAATAAATTTATGAAAGAGGGATTTTATATATTCCGAGCATCGTGGGTTGAAAAATCCCGCTCCCACTTCTTTTTTGTTTCAACCACAGCTGAGTCAATATCTCGATAAGGTGCCTTTGAAACTTCACCCTTTCACCCCCCAAAAGGTCAGATTTTCCATACTACTACATACAAAACTTTATGCTCATTGCATTAAGTAGATGTTATGTTGTTAGAAATACGGTACATATTGGTCAAGCTTTCTTTTTTGGGTTGGCGCATATTAAATAGCAATCGCAATACTGAGAGTGGGGAACAAAAAAAAAAGGCAACTTTCCTTTGACGATATGATGAAAATGAAAAGGCATTAATTGGAAATGTTATTTTGCAACTACAACAAAGACATATTGCTGGTCTTAACGTGACTCAGAAAATGAGGTGCAGTTACCCCATAATGACATGGCGGACAGCAATTTCAAGACTGAATGTTTTGATTCTGAAAACTGAATCTAAATGATAAAGTGGCTTTTTTTTAACTACTTGTGCACAATAAAAGCTTGTCAACAATTGATTTAGCATTTAACACGGTAGTTAGCAAAGCAGCATGCATGACATGCCAAACTCATGTATGGACAAAGTACATCTAAAGAAAAGAAAGCATAAAATGAAAAAAATAATAATTTTAAAGACTGATCATTGCAGTGGCATGTGTGTAAATGTGTGAGGACTTCTAATTAGGACCTTCGAGTTTCATTAGTTTGCTACATTTTCATGAGTGATTCTGACGAGAACACCAAAGGCACTTTATAGTGATACTGACCCTGTTCCTCCATTCGCTCTTCGAATTATATGACAGACCAGGTCAAATACTGTCATGATTCCATTCAAAGTAACAGTAAGATCATAAGACCAAAAACAACCAAACTAAATCTAACAATGACAAATGTAGACTGAAAGCAGCTGGGTTTTTTTTTGTTTGTTTTTTAAAGGGACAGCTGTGTTCCCTCAGTCCCAACATTTCCTACTTCCTCCTGTTAGTATCTCTTTTTAGGGGATAGAATTAACACTGCAGATATCCGTACCGTGGCTCAACCTTTGCTAAATGGGCCATAGACAACAGCCATTTTCATCTCCAGACCATGTCAGCAATAACTGTGTTGTCACACAGGTGTAACAAGATCATAATTTAACATTAAATATGTTAATTAAAAGGTAATTTACCTCCTTTGCAACCTAGCATTTTTACATAAAATTATTCAATTTTGGTCAACTTAATAAGAGCACGACTTTGACTTGTTGATGTGTTATCTGCTGGTAAAAGTCTGCATCACCTTTTCTAGATGTCGCTGTTCTGTTTAAACGGTACCAATGAATGGCCTTTGGAGGTAGGATTAGCGCCATAGCATAGCAGGAAAGTGGCGTGTGCGAAGTTTGACACCTGACAAGTCACTTCTCCTGCCCGGTTGCATCAAAAGCAGTTGTAAAGCCCTTTTCACAATGCACTCAATTCAGTGTGAAAGGGTTGCACGTCAGCAGTGAAAGATGACTGCAACCCGGTTGGCAAGGTGCCCATATTTGGAAATGCTGACGCTGGTTTAGACGAGAAGTAGACTACATGGCGACAAGATGTACAGTATCTTTCATTTTTGTAAAATATAACCCTTGCTCTTTTTTAGTAATAGGAGGAGGAGACGAGCAACAGAATCCAAAAAAAAAAAAAAAAGAATGGTACATCCTTTACGAATGGCTCGGCAGGAATTAAAATTTGACCGCTTCAAAGTATGTTTCAGACTGATCAAGGAGCAGGGACCTCTCAAACTTGTGCCCCCAAGTCATGTCTCATGTGACCCAACGCTCCGCACAGAGGAGATGTCCTTCTGCCACACCACCCAGCAGCGCTGCATTCCATGGTGCTCCGCCCCCTCACCGCACACACAAAGAATGGGTTCGGCGACTGTTAAGTGCAGTGTGAAAAGGGCTTAACTGACGTCACACATTGAATTATCTGGATTGCGGGATGCCAAGTTGCTGTGTGAAAGCATGACCAATGAGTGGGAAAATGTATGAAAAATGTCTTCTGTTACGAAGGCAAAGAATTTCTATAGGCTTTTAGAATGCTGTTATTTTCTCCAATTCAAAGCGCCCTTTTCGTAAAGAAAACACCTCACGTGTCAGGCTTACCTAAAATACACTTTCCATAATGGGAGTCATGATTTTACAACAGCACCACAACAACAACAAAAAATAAACCGTGGGGGCAGCTGTTTTACATGGGCAGGATGTAGTTGGAGTTGGCTAGCTTGTGTTGCTGTGCGGCAGGGACAAGCTCTCCCTGACTCAGAGGGCGGTGGCAGTTGTCCTCGTGAAGCGCGGGGTAGTGCTGCCTGTAGCACAGCCAGGCGAAGGCCAGGCCTAGCAGAGAGCCCACTAGCACATCTACAAGCAAGACAACAAGGTCAATGGGTCATGATGGTCGCAACGGAACTGGACCACAGTCAGTCAGAGGGCACATAGAGAAAAACGACCATTCACACACACACACATTCAAGCCGAAGGAGAATCGAGAGCGGGGTAGTGCTGCCTGTAGCACAGCCAGGCGAAGGCCAGGCCTAGCAGAGAGCCCACTAGCACATCTACAAGCAAGACAACAAGGTCAATGGGTCATGATGGTCGCAACGGAACTGGACCACAGTCAAGTCAGAGGGCACATTCACACACACACTTTCAAGCCTAAGGAGAATTGAGAATCATCGGTTACCCTAAGAAGCATGACTTTAGGAGATGTGAAGAAACTGGCGTACCCGCAGAAAATGACAAAAGATGCTCCAATAGGGATTCAAACTCACATCTTCTGACTGAGTGGCAGACATGCTAATCACTACCATACCGTGCAGCCCTCTAAATGACATGCGCATGAAATTATTTTCACGAAGCTTCTGAAGGGATTGCTCGAATTGGTCGGTTCCTTTCCAGAACGGGTTTGGAAAGTGGCTGTTTGTCAAGATTTTATGAGGCTTTCATTAACTGCTACACATCATTACATTGGGCAGCAGCAGCTCATCTGTAACAAATGGGACTTTGGAACTGGAGAGTCACGATTTCAGTCATGTAATGTTAAGTAATTGCTGGAAAGATGCTATTCTGCAACCTGATGACCATGGAGGTGTCCCAGGCAAGTCCTGCTTGGCAAACAGTGAGGATCTAGAGAGCAACAGTTACAATAAACCTATTCATAATTAATTTATAAACCCTGTGCCTTTTTTTTTTAAGTCATCGCAACACTCCTTTATTATTTCATTCATAGTAAGGAAGATGGAGCCTCAGACTGACCTTGCCAGTGGTGTTTGTAGTCGCAGGTTCTGGAAAGGGCAATGGTCAGCGCTACAATTAAAGGGGTGAGGAATGCACAGAGTCGCCAAGCCCTGCCTTGACCAACTGCACTGAAGCATCGCAGCTTTCCACCGATGTAAAGTGCTGTGAAGCCCAGCCCTGCAAAAGCAACTACAAAGAGAATAGTGGAGTAAGGAATAAGGACAAACATTAAATACACTTTTTCACATTGACCTGGATAACACCCCCCCACCAAAAAAAAATAATAATACAGTGGTATCTTGACTCAAAGGTGACCTGACATTACAAAGTCAATTTAGAATTTGGATTGTTAAGCCCTAGATTCTATAAACAGCATGTTATCATGTCTCACATGAAGAGTGTCCGCTGGGAAAACTCTTTCTTCCCTCCATGACCACGTCTGGATCACCGTTGCAGCGTAGCTCCAGGTTCATCTGACCGTCTGGGAAACAGCGATAGAAGAAGTCTGGCCTTGGCCTGATGCAGAAAAAAAGTGTTATTTCGCCTCTAGTTTGCCAACAGTGTTCTCATTTGCACCGTTTTACCTGCCGACGGCAAGTTTGATGATGTTGGTAAAAACACCGTTCAGCACCAGCGTCAACGTCACGGCTGGATAACAGAAGGTGGCAATGATGGGGAAAAAAAAACAGCAGCTTAACAAATGCAGTGCCTTGCAAGTCTCATGGCTCAGATACGTGAGCAAATAAGAAACTGGAACACCCTTTTATACTATTTCTACTACACTGTGATGTCTGAATTTGATTCATTGTTCACCCCTATTTTGTATCCAGGACTGAATGAAGTTAGGAGCCTCGTCACGAAACAAATTCAACTCATCAGTCAAGATGCTCCTGTATTCTGACAACAGTCACATGTTTCTCACCCAGTGATGCTTCCTTGGCGTCGCCTCGGTCTGGCTTCATCAGGATGGTGAAGACCAGGATGACAATTAGTGGCGTGAAGACAGCAATGCTCTGGTGTGGCAAAGAGGGGGCACAGTATAAACTAAAAACGGGTTAATAACGGAAATATATACAACTTTCACGTCACTTACAAACATGAGCGATGTAGGGACGTGATCTTGCTCCACTCGTTGGAATTTATACAACCATATCTCCTCTGGTTGGATCTCACGGTAGAAAGGCGGAAGCTGCTCTGTCACGCTGAGGGAATGAAGCACAACTGGTTCAATACAGATGATGCCCTACATCGAATTTACATTCCAGTGGTGAGTGCCACATGCTTTCTATCAGACTACAGTGTGCTTTCATGTTGTTTTACCAGGACCCAGGTTGCCCCAAATCTGGTAAAACAACAAACCAAAGCATTGCTTTACATTTTTTTAGTAATCAGCAGTGGAAAATGGGTTGGTTTCACCCAAATCACAAATGTATGAAACAAGCTGAGATGGATACAAACGGGTAGATTTAGCTGCTTCAGTTATTTTCTAAACACACAATATTAATCAGAACGCCGTGTTTAGACTAGCAGGGTTGCATACAACACATTGTTAAGAACATTTTAGGGTTGACTTTTCCTAGATGAGCATGAGCGGTTATCATGCGATATTTAAATAACAAATTCTAAGGGATACACAGGATGGAATGGACTTACAGAAAAACCACGAAGAGTGCCAAGCGGATGCAGATTTCTGACAGCAGCCCACGAAGCAGCCTCCTCTTCATTTTGTCTGTCGGTGTGGACTTCAGTCAAAGCAGCACATCACCTCCCGATTTATATCACCCTAAAAGCTGCAGGTTAACATATAGAAAAATCAATGTTAAAATATATCGTCCAAATCAATTTTGCCTTAGGTATCTGTGGCTGGTATCAGCAGCCATCACGTTTACCATGAAGTAAGTCTGGTAACATCTCAATAAGCAACATCTGATATTGGTACTCGACAATCCCTTGTTGTCAAAAAATAAATAAATCGACAGAGTTACATTGGATAATTTCCCTTTGGCACACTCAAGAGTGACCTATTTTTTTTACTGGGGTTTTTTGGGGCAATAATTCTAACAGAGACACAAAATGGAGTTTGGCCCCAAGTCAACTATGCTGGCACTGCAGTTCAATCGGATTCTCTGCATTTTCGTCGTACAGTATAGCATCACCTTTACACGATGAATAAGCAAAGCCATCCACATAGGATCTAAACTTCGCAATGAGTTAATTCGACTAAGAAGCAGACGCAACACTATTGATCACTTTTAACACATTTAAAAAAACAAGTGTCCATAGTTGTCATTGTATCTATTACCCATCGTATTGTAGCCGTGTTTAAATTACACCTCCGCATGCCACGACGCTATTAAGAGATCAAAAAGTAACATATGGCAACCAACCACCCTGACAAAACATGACAACACCTAGCATCGCCTGTCTCTGTATATGGAAGAGATGTTAGCATCTAAGCTAGCTGGTTGAAACATCTGTCAAGCAAAATGACTGTCGGCCTGTCACGAATATCACAACGGTTTACAACTCACCTTCAATTAGAAAGCTTTCCTATCTCGCTATCCTCACGACAACGCCAGTTTTATTGTAAAAAGAGGCTGCGGCATCTTCCCTCATTTGAGACTCAAGAGACACTCCATCCAATGAAGCCAATGTGCTCGTCATGAAGATTGCACAAAACATCCGTTCCACGCTTTTCAAACGTAAAGGTAAGTCTCAATTGGATTCGACGATAATAGAATATTTGAGATTCAAATAAATGGTGTCAGTCATTTCGTAAATATTAACAGGGTTAAATACCTCATATGTCGATCCCCACGTATAACATCTATGACTACATTTTTAACGGCATCCACAAAATCGATTTGTTTTGACAGACGGAAATGGTATTGAAATAACTTAGTTTTTTTAAAACATGGATTCAACACGCCACGTCACGTAAAGTGTAATTGAAGTTGTACAGTATTTGTGACATAAGCTATACAACTTCAAGGAGATGTACTTTGAAAGTACACATCCTTCATTCATACTGTACTAAGGTATACCACGTTTATAATTTTGGAGTGGGTGATCTCCCTAACATTTGATAATACTATAGTCATACTTATAATTATTATCAATTCATTCAACATATCGGAAATTAATTTCAGTTGATCAATGTCATTTGTTTTACTTTATTGTATTTATTACAGCACACGTAATGATGTACAATGAGTGACTAAATATGTAAATTCCGCATTTAAACGAAGCATTTCATTTTGAATGAAACACGCTCTCGATAAAAAAAAAACTGCTTTTTCAACAGTAAGAATACGCGCGTGCGCTCACAACTGTGAAGCTTCCTGCTAAGATAAGTGAATGTTTCAAAACGTCTCCAAAAAAGACAATTAGATAAGTCTCCATGCTTTGTTAGTTTTACAGCACATTTAAAAGACGACACAAAACTCGTGCTTCACTGAGACAGAGTACAGCTTTATTAAAGTCAAACTTCAGGCATGTCTGAACTCTTCCAACTCAACTTTTGAATGAAAAAAGGACAGAAGTCATATTTTCAAATAAAAAGACGGTCATGTACAAAAAGAGTGTCTTTCCAACAGTCACGGACATTTAGAAGCGGAATTGTACAAGCAAAGCAATAAAATAAAAACAGCACGCCACAGTAACATGATTCTATGCAAATACAATGCAAGGCTATTTACAGGTTCGCCAACAATGTGCATTAACACAGGTTGAACAGTAATCAACATGATGGTCGTGTTCATCCACGTTTTTCATTGAAGCAACACCAAGAGAGATAGATATGACCCCAGTTAGTAAATCAACGTCATTCTACAAGAAAAAAAAAAAAACAATTGAGTGCTTTGCCAGTGAGTTTTTATTCAGCACAACACCAATTCTTCTCTGACTGCCTGTCAATAAAAAACTCAACAACAGCCAGCAATGAATGCAAATTTTAAAGCACGAGAGGGGTGGCTGATTCTAGTTGTTAGAATAGATTTTAAAAAAAGAATTCCATGATGCTTTGAAAAGTCAGTCTGAAGCTTCAAGGGTCACTTGCAAAGGAACAAACATGCTGGGGGGGGGGGGGGGTTTTTTGAAAAAAGGGCTTTTTCACAAAATAATGGCACTAAAAAACAAAACACTATTTTTGTGAAGTACAGTAATACAAAATGATGCAACACACAAATTAAGCGTTCTAATACTGCCACTGTATCAGCAGAGAGGGCAAAATGGCACTGAGCGACATCATGCAATCCGCATGTGGGGAGTGGATGGGGGGGGGGGAAAGGCCGCTGCCTTTATGATAGAAAAGTATAACAAAGAAAGAGAAATTGTGCTGTGATGAGGCATTTTAAGATTCAACATGTGCAGTTCAACTTAACAGTCACCTTGAAACGACAACGCCCAGTCATGCCATTATGATTCACCAACAACAACAAAAAATGCCTGTGGTCCACACTTAAAATAACACACAAATAAATAATAACATTCAAGTTTGGGGTGGTGACATGCTTGAGTGTGAAAAGTGCCTGGATGACAGATGACTAAGTTGAGAGGAAAGCACTGGGGGGAAATGCATCATGTACAGTGCTGTGAATTACTTGCTCTCTTCTCAAATTCTTTTTTTTTTTTTTTTGCATAGTTCCCCCGCTTATCACACAAAAGATAAGCCAAGTAAATTTAAAATGACATTTTTAAATGGTGTCCTCAGTCTAGCTGAGCTGACTATGGTGATTTAATTTATTAAGGGAAACAAATATTCAAAGCTACCTGACTCTCCGTGGAAAAAGGACTTGCTCCCCTTGTTAACTTGTGAATTAACTGTGCCTAATCACATTCTTTGGAGAGCTGTTCACTTAAATAGAACCCTTCCATCCATTCTGTCTGACAAAATTAAGTTGGCCAAAAGATTTTTAAAAAATGCTGCAACAAAATGCCACAATCCAAAGAAATACAGTAATAGATATGAAATAAAGTAAAACATCGATCAGACTGGAAAGGGTTACAAAGTCATTCCGAAAGCGTTCAGACTTCGGTGAACCACTGTGAGAGCTATGCTCAACAAAAGGTACAAACATGAAACCGGAGTAAAAAGCCTACAAAAATTACCCCAAGAGCACAGCGACGATTCATCAAGGAGGTTGCAATGGAACCTAGGACAACATTAAAAAAAAAAACAAAAAAACTGCTAATCTCCCTCCCCTCAGAGTCAGTGTTCATGACTCAATAATAAGGAAGAGGAGTGCAAAACTAACATCAATGGCAGTGTTCCAAGCTGGAAACCTCCACTGAACAAAAACACAAAGACCCCCCTTACATAGGGGGAAAAAAAAATTTGGCAAAAATTCTGTGAACTGACTATTTAAAAGCTGAACTTTTTTGGAAGGTGTATATCTCATTTCAATTTGGAAAAAAATACAACACAACATTTCAGAAAAAAAAAAAAAAACAACGCTAACTAACAGTCAGTAGTGTGATGCTCTGGAGCTTATTTTCTCCTTCAGGAACATGGTTTACTTGCTGTGATTGATTGAAGTGTGAATTCTGCTCTTTACCAGAATAAACTGAAGGAGGAAGTTTGAAAATCAGTTCGTGACCTCGAGCTGAAGCATACTTGGCTTTTGCAGCAGGACAAATGATCCAAACAGAATAGAGTCAAGTTATGATTGGCTAAAATGAAGGTCTTGTGGCTAGTCAAAGTCCGGACTTCAATTCAATTGAAATGTTGTGGCATGATCTTAACAAGGGCTGTTCATGCTCAAACCTTCTTGTATTGCTGAACTGAATCAACTCTGTAAAGAATAGTGGGCCAAAATATCTCCAGACATTTGGAAGACTCATCGGCATATAAAGCAATTGATTTCTGTTGCCAGCCAGTTATGAACTTGAGGAGGCAAGTACTTTTTTTCTCACAGTGCCAGGTAGCTTTGAATTTTTTTTTTTCCTAAAAACTGCATTTTGCATTCACTTGGTTTCTCTTTGTCTGATAATGACACTTGTTTGATGATCGAACACATTTAACTATGCAAAAAAAAAAAAAAAAAAAATCAGAATTTAACATGAGGGCAAATACTTTTTCATGGCACTTTACATCACTGAGGGAAATGGCCGACAAATGACACAATGTTACACACGTAGGCGGAAAAAGAACATGGCGATAGGGTGCATCTAACTTAATGCAACCGAGAGCCATTATTTGTCCAAATATTAAGTTGTTAAATGCCCACCCCCACTCCCCCGTTTGTAAACCCTTTTACATAATTGAAATTTCCTAAATAAGTTGTTGTGCATTGACACCGACTTAACTGTCACCTAGCGAGGTTAAAACCAACAAAATACCCTAAAACCCGGGGAGCATGATCAAGACTGAGGCATGACGATAAACATTCCAATACTGAACTGCTTTCAACAGCAAATACAGTGACAGTGACAAGTCACCACACATGAGCAGCGGCTAATGTGGAATCATTACACCTATGTAGGAAAAAAACAAAACAAAACAAAAACAAAAAACAATGCACTACTTACAGGTATAATACGTGAACCCCATCGGGTTATTTTTTTTTTTCCTTTTTAAATGTCACACGGTGGGAACAGGGGATACTGCACCGGTGTTTGACAAAGCAATTGGTATAAAATGTGGTGCAATAAATACAAAAGATTTCGACAGATGAGCAATTTAAAAACACTGTACAGGTTGTATTTTGTACACTCTACTGGACTGTGTGTGTCATGAAACGAATTCACAATTTCTTCAACACCAGGCTGGCAGTTGTTCAAATTTTGCCCCCTGCCCCCCAATTTTTTTTTTTTTTTTGTCACAACACATTTTAAATTCTTATGTTAGTACCAGAAGAAGAGGTATCCATTTTCAAAACACTTAACGTTCCTTTAATACACATTTCTGTATATGTGTGACCTAACTAAATAGTGTAATGACAAAGGCGTGTGAAAGTGCTTTTCAGAGAAGTTTTGGCAAACAACATCAAAAAAAAAAAGGTCACAGTACACAAACATCATTGAAATGCATCTGGGCAGTAGTTCCTACAGCCGCGACGGAACTGAAGTTATTCCTTAAGGCTGATTAACGATACTACATCAGCAGTGCTCACTGGCTGCCCCCCCCCCCCCCCCCTCCCTTGAGCATGACAACCGCTCAGAGAAAATGTGGAACATATTTTTATATTTAAAAAAAAAAAAAAAAAAAATCTGTCGTGTTAAAAATCAAGTGTGGAGGCTGGGCTCCATGCCTCCCTGTTGCTAAGTACTTTACAATATCATGAGCCAATTATGTACACATAAATGAGCCAACAAAAAGTCACAAGTACTTGTGTAATGTTATACCAGTACGCTTATATATCATTATACAGTATTTCACCTTAATAGGACGATTTTCACAAGGAGGTTCGCGCAACATCTAAACAAAGAAATACACCACTCACCGAGATGAAGTGAAAAAAAAAAAAAAATCTGCCTGTAAACATTAACAAACATAGATACGTATATAATTATATTCATCTATAGCCATAAGTATATCAAAAAACATGGTTAAATGAATGTTGGAATGTAGTGTGGTCCTAAAAAAAAAATAAATTGCACAAAAAGTGTCGCCCCTCCGGTTTGTCAACGAGGAAGGGGAGGAACGCGATACGATGACGGGTCATGGTGTCGGGGGGGGGCAGTGGGAGTGTGTAAGACGCCAGCCGCGGTGTACAGCAGGTAAACAAGAGGAGGAGCGGCATGGCGTCACCTCCCGCCACCTCACTTCCTTCAAAGGGACGGCTACTGACAACACTTGGGGATTATCCGACGGGAGAACAAAACGAGGATTTGGTCCGGGATCTTGGCGCTGTCGTGTGTTAGTGATGTTTTACAGCCAGAGGAGCGGAGAATGGCGCACGTCCTCGTCCCACGTTGCTCCAATCTCACTGCGCTTGCCACTTAAGGAGTTCTTCAACAATGTCTCGGCCCCGAAGGTCCGACAAAGAAATTAAAAAAAAAAAAAAAAAAATCCAAAAATGTTATATTCCCTTTATTGAGCACAGGTGGGTGGCGCGCCCGGAGTGCATTTTACAGGGAACGAGGTAACGAGGGCGCCACATCATCTCCCTGCGGTTCCTCTTTGACAGTGACGGGGCTCAGAGAAGAAGACAGCGGTGGCGGCGGCGGTTGAGCGGAGCTGGGGCTGGACGCCAGGGGACTGAGGGGGTTGTGGCTGGAACAACAGGGGCGGCCCTCCAGCGAAGAGGCGGTAAGCGCCCCCGCCTCATGGTCCGGGCAGAAGGAGCGAGGGCAGAAGTCACAGAGAGATGAGGCCGGCGTGCCACAGATACTGCAGTCGTGCCAGGGACATTCCCAACGACCTGTGGGCAAGAAAACAGTTAAGATGCATCACCTCTACAAAATCATTTGGGCAAGCGACACTACTGCAAAAACTGTCAGGATGAACGTAATGCACCAGAACACGTGACTGAAATGGACCATCGTGAAAAAAAATCTGCGTTTGCCGTCCGTGTTGACGTTGACGAATTAGTTCCGAATCAATTCAAATTCGTCTTACTTATCGTACTTTTCCCGAAAAATGAAAACATTTGAACAAAATGGCAAATGGTGTACACATATAGCATGTCGCGCTTTATCTATAACATATGGTGTCCAGAGCCTCAACTAAACAGGCCCAGATTTCACATCGAGAAAGTCAATTTGTGAGTAAATTGAGAGAAGATCATTAATCCGTTGTCCATATTTTTTGTGACATTTTTGATGGAGGGTGGCACGGTGGTGACTCATTAGCACGTCCGCCTCACAGTGCAGAGTTGCATGATGTGTCATGAGATTTTTCTCAGGTTAAATTACAGTATAACTCACGAAACGCTGGAAAACATGATGGTGTGTTAAAGTCTGCTTGGATTGAATTTAAAAGCGGTGTTCCCTGACACCAAACCTCAGTGGGGTAAACTAGAACAGATAATGCTCGCCAAGCAATCTCTCGGGTGGAACATTCGTGACCTCGCACCTCCATGACAGTACTTTAGGGTATGTTGGACAAACAGCTTCATACTTTGAACCACAGAGCGGACATGAAATGAACAAATGTAAAGATTCTGCACCTTATTGGAAGATCTCAGGCAACACGCTTTAGCTTAATTGGAAAAATTGTTCAATTGAAAGAGTTCATCATCACCATATGGCGGCTTGGTGAGGTTGAGACACAGGAGGTGGTACGCCTTGGGACACTCCTTCCTGTCACACATCACCAGCTCTCCTCCCTCTCCGCAGCAAAAGCAGAAGTACTCGTGTGTGTGTTTGCCCTCCAGCCGCAGTTTCCGCTTTTTCTGCCTCAGCTTGGCATTCCTGGCCTTCTCCTCTTTCTCCTGCACCACAGCACTCTGGAGGGTAAAGTCACTCGACATTGAAATGATACCGAAAGCGATTTTGTGCTCTAATAGGGACTGGAATGCGCGCTTACAGTCGGCTGCACCCCGAGGAAACCTGAGCAGTTGTCTGATCCACAGTGGCAAGATGTTCTCCTGTTGCCGACGCAGTGCAGGTTATAATTGAATGTCATCTCGGTGCCTGAACACAGACAGCAGACAGGAGGCATTTCATTAAACTCCTCTGACCCGGATACCGAACCGATCTGAAGTCAGGCACTGTAAAATTTGGACTCCGCCCCTGGACCCCTACTTATATACTTTCCAGAAAGACTTAGCTTGAAGGTAATGGAAGTTAACTCACCAGCCTCTATATCGCAGAGAGCAAAGAGTCCAATGCGGACATCGCCATTGACCGTCCACTTTTGGGTTTCACAGTTGGGGCTGCAGCTGTGGTTAATGAACCGGGAAGAATTCCCTTTTGGACCAGCGTCAATCACACGATCCTGAAGTGTGCAAAGATGCACATTACGACAACGTAGGTTGAGAGGAACGTTTGTTTTTTTCACAATGCCTTTACCTTAGTAAGGGTTAGCATGTAGAAGTTGGTGACGTGGTTTTCGTGGGCGCGTTTAATTCGCTGCTGACACTCGTCCGAGTCGATGACTTCTCCGACATACTCGGTCACAAAGTCACCCTGTAGAAAACATTTTATTTTTACTTGAGTGATGTGCCTCTCTATAGACCCCTTCACAGTTTGGAAAACAACGTGTCGTCATTTATGGGGCCCGGGTTAGCTGGAGGCAAAAACATCAAGCCGCTTAGCACATTTGAAGGAATGGACGTGAAAAACGGTTATTAGAATAAATATGAAATTCAACTCATTCTCCTAAATGTTACTTTAAAGCACAGGTGTCAAACTCAAGGCCCGGGGGGCCAGATCCGGCCCGCCAGGTCATTTTATGTGGCCGGCGAAAGCAAATCGTGTGTGTCAACTTTGCTAACATCTGTACTGAAATGTCAAATTGACGTGTAATAAATAACATTGAGATTTTGGAATACTTTTGTGAACCAGTTTATACTCACTTGAACAATACTTGAACAAACTATTACAATTGACTTGACTGATTTCAAGTAATCTATTCATTTGTTGTGTACAAGTAATAACTTTGTGGTTTCACTTTCATAACGGCCCTCCGAGGGAATTGGCCCGCAACTAAAATGAGTATAGGTCTTCAGTGTAAACTGAAGGCCTATAAATCATTAGAGGCTACCTCTTGTACGGACATGTTCAAGATTTACAATATAACTCGAGCGATGACTTTTGTGTTGTGCGGTCACAAGTGATTTACTTCACAATTAAAAGTGATTGAGAAAAGGATTGTCGGGACACTTGACACGTACCTTCCTCAGAGCCTGGTTGGTTCTGAGGCCCCATCCACGTTCCTCTGTCTTGATCACCTCCGACTCCGCATAGAGGCGCTTAGAGAAACACTGGTTCTCACAATTCTCTCCTGCAGGACATACCTGTGCCAGGACGGGAAGAGGATGACAGGCGGCACTTGACACTGTCTCAAAAGAAAAGTAGTGCAACCAACCTGAGGGTGGCACTCGTACTGCAGCATGCGGTTGAGACACTGAGAGTCGAGGCTGCACGGGTGCTCGTCTGCGGGCCGGCAGTTGCAGCGTGGGATTTCGGATAAGTCAGCAACGTGCATGTGCACTTTCCCCACAGGTTTGTTGGACTAAAACAAGAAATCCAAAACGCCAATTTAGAAAATACTACAACAGCAGTGACTCAATAAAGCGCAAGAAAAAATGCTTAGTTTTCACCCGGGAGTGCAAAAAACAATTTTATCAGACTACCCATCCAGCCATTTTCTCCACTTCACTTTATTAGGGTTGCAGGTATGCCGGCAACAATTAATCACATAAGTGTAATCATTTTATTACAAAAAAAGTGTAAGCAAAACCGCTGCCTTGGATCATTTTTCTAAACAGACTAATGCTCCTGCAGGCTTAATAATAATAATAACTAGAATAATCATCATCACCATCATCATCATAAAAATACATCTTTATTTATTTAGCGCTTTCACAACAACTGGCGCTGAAACAAAGCGCTTTACAGAAAAGTTAACATAAAATCACAAAATACGGTAATAGAACACAACACATAACTTCAGACATGGACAGTCATGCAATCGTAACCACTATTTCTAATAATAATAATAATGAGAATAATGAGAATAATACCAGTAGTATTTAATAATAATTGCACCTCACATGCACATAAAGCAAAATCGATTTATATTTGATTAATTGCTGGGATAATCAGAAGAATAATCTATTCTCAAAATATTCCATAGCTGCAGCGCTATGCCAACTTTGGGCAACGGGTAGGGTAGAGCCTGGACTGATCGGCAGCCAATCACAGGGCACATATACAAAAAAATATTATTCACTCCTATGGACAAATTAGAGTCTTCAACGAACCTAACGTGTATTCTCACCACATGGGTTTGAATCCAGAGAACACCGAAATTAAACATGCAAGCATGAAGAGATTTTTTTTTTGATGATATTACCTTGATGAATTTGTAGGGAGGCGGTTTGCGAGAGTTGCGCTCCTGCTCCAAAGCCTCCCTGCTCTCCCTCTGGGCCTTGAGCTCCTGAAACCTCCGGGCTGCTTCTTCCAGAGCTGAAACACCGCAACAACATTGCAGATGCCTATTTTGTGGTCTGTCTTTTTTTTTTTTTTTTTTTTTTTGAAGGGGTTTCGGGCACCGGGGGGGTTTATTTT